CCTTGTGGAGAATTTATGGGAGGACATACAGGAGTTACACAGGATACATAAGGAATGGTTGCAAACTCTATCATGAGAAGGTATTCCCACATCGATGAGCTAACAGATTCATTTGATTGTTTGAAAATCTGAACCCCCTCAATAGGGCACTGTCTGCAAGTTGCTGTTTCTGGTGCTAAACACTTTGTATCTTTTCAGATGAGTTTATGAAAACATTGCAAATGCTATTCATTTAGTCAATAGAAGACTGAAAACACAGTCAATGATGGATCTTATTTTGAAACATTTTATTATTCTCAAAATTTCACAAATAATTGTAATTATTTTGTGCAAAGATTCTGATGGCCTCACAAAAGATGACCAAGATAAGTATGTAAGCAGGTATGGACTCCTTCCTCAAAACAAGAAACAGAATAAACACTTATCTCCCAGCTCAATGAACAGGAGTATACAATACATTTCAATCAATGCTTTATTAATCACAACTACAATATTAAGCAATTCCATAACAAAATGGTATCAAAGATTGGAAACTATCTTTTTCATTAGCTTGGGAGTATACCTCAGATATAGATAGCATAAAAAAAGAGGGGAACATTCAGAGTCATAGGTTCCTTTTTAGCAAAAATAATTACACATTCACAAAGCATTATAGTCCTTAATCAGATTACATTGTTTTGTTTTGTTTTGTTTTGTTTTCATGCAGTGAGGCAACTCTATTGTCTCCATTTTTAATAGTGAAGAAGCCTAAACAATATGTTCATATTGTTAGGGTGTTCCCAGGATTGTATTCCTTTTATGGATTTCATCAAAGATTTCCTTAAAAAAATTTTTTTTTCAGTTTATCCTGTATATAGCTTATTTGTATTTATTTGCTTTCTTGTCTTCCCCATTAGATTATAAGCTACTTAAAAGCAAGGATTGTCTTTTGCCTCTTTTTGTATTCCCAGGACTTAGCACGTTGCCTTTCACATAGTAAGTTAATAAATATGTATGGACTGACTGAATAAATGCTTGGTTTCCTTCCTTCCTCCCAAAAGTGACTAAAATGTCCACATCCTTTGACCCAGAGAGCTCAATACAGGCATAAACCCAGAAGAGATCTAAAACCAAAAGAGGGGTTCTTTACGTACAAAATATTGAGTATCATTTTTTTTTTGGTAGCAAAGAACTGGGGACAAATTAGGTACCCAGCAGTTAGGGAAGAGATAAACAAATTGTACTATGTGGATAGGTACTCCTTGCCTAAGGAGGGAGTCAGAGTACAGCTGGAAATGGATGTTGATGTGACAGCAGAATGAAGAAAGAATCAAAGGACAGTCCCACCCCATGGCTAAAAAGGAGAGAGAAGCTTAGACCTCTTGAGAGGTGAGAAGCAAGCAAGAGCACTGAAGAGAAGTTATGGTCCTCTATGGAACAAGGGAAAGAGAGTCGTGATTAGAAAGAGAAAGGAAACGCTGATGACAGAAGGATTTGGAGCTGCCTTACACTGAGAGTTTAAAGTTGCCAGCATGATATAGTCCAGCTTGGAGAAATGGGGAGATTCTGTAACATTAATCCACATATTGGGTCAAACTTCACTCCTTTCCTCTTTCCCCTGCTTTTTTGCCTCTTCCTTTCAAGGAGAGTGGAATGCTTTACCAATCTCTGTTTAAAAGTTTGTTGTTCTCTATATTTCATCATTTGTTTTAAGAAATTGATTCTCCAAACTAATATGATTACTTCTCTAATTGATAGCTTATATGCGCAGTGTGTGCATGTGTGTGTTTATGCATGTGCATGCACATGTTCTATTTGCGGTTAATGATAGCTGAAAGGGAGGCCCTTAACCTACCATGCCATACGTCTTTCCTAGCTAAAGTAATAATGTAAAAGGTAACTAGGAGATGTTCACCTGTCTGCTACAAAATTAAAGCTAAATTCCAGATCCACGAAAGATTCTTCCCCATGTATCTTTCTGATTTAATCTTTGTATTTCTTCACTTCACTGATAATGTCTTAATGGCTTCCCTGTCAATAGAGCAAATTAGTAAGATACTTAATCTATTTACAATGAGATGTACTTTAGCAAAGATGGGCACCAATAACAAACACATGAGCACTTGTTTATTTTCAACTCTTCAGACTTCCAAATTAGAATTTCCAGCTCTACTTTGCCTCAGATCACAAGCAAACTTAATTTATAAATGTTATTCATCCAGTGCAGTTGAACTAAATATACCTTTCATGACTTCCACCACCTGAATGCTGATGACTCAAAAATCTCTCTGCCTCTCCTTTTAGTGTCACCACTCACTGTTTTTGAGATACTTCTGCTTAGATTTCTTGTCATCACCTTAAACTCATAATGATTCAGATGAGGTGAAACTACTTGCTTAAAGCCCCGTAGCCTTTACCAGTGCCCAGCTGTTCCAGTATAGAAGCAAATCAACCACTCTACCCATTCCTGAAGGGTTACTCCAGAGCAAAGCTTCACATTGCTCCCTTTACCATTCTTTCTGTTTTCCTCCCTCAATATTAAAGCTGGTGCCAAATCAACAATTTAACAGGCATTCATTACCCACTTACTATGTGCTAGGCACTGCACTAGATGCTGGATATTAAAACAAACAAAAAACAGTCTTTGATTTCAAGGAATTTAACATTCTATTGAGGAAAACAAGTACACAGATGAGTAAATAAAAATATGTACAAAGCAAATGAAAATTTCTTTCTGGGATAGGGAATGAGTACAATAACTGGAATGATCTCATATGGGAGGTGGTACTTAAGCTGAACTTTGAAGAAAGCTAGGCATTCAGGGAGTAGAGGAAGAATATTCCTAATTTTGTTATCCCAGACCAAATGACCTTCTATACATATTATGTTTATAATCTGACTAATCTAAGTGTTCCCTTCCCATCATATACTCTATCATCTCTTACATAAAGCAAATGAAAATTCTTGTCATGGTTTTCCAGGTTCCCAACCAGCCAACTTTATAACCCCTCACATGTTTCTATCTGAATCACTTCTGGATGTTCAACCAAACATTAAAGTATTATAGATTTAGAGATGAACAGGTCCTAAGGAGTTATTCAGTCCAACTCTTTCATCTTACAGATGAGAAACCTGAGGCCTAGAGAAGACAAATGACTTCCCCAATGTCTCACAGGTAGCAAGCGGCAGAACCTAAGTAGGTCCTTTGACAGTTCTCATTCTACTATATCATAACTGCCTCCCTGTTTCCTTCTATTAAGTCAAACTTTTCCTTTAAATGGTGACCACCAGTCCACTGTCTTACCCCCATCGCTATAAAAATCATTGTTAAATTGGTACAATTTCCATAGTGAGTTTGGGTCTCAAGAAATACCTCTGACGCTTACTGGCTATGTGTTAGGCAAATTTAATCATGTCATCTCCCTAAGATTTCAGTTTTGTTGTTGTTTGTGTATTTTCTCTTTGTGCTGAAGATATATGCATGTCACTTAAATACTCTCCAACTTAGAAAGCAACATCTGGGCCCTAGCTCACAGCAGTGCTAACAGTCACAGATCTGTTTGAAAAGAGAATTCCCTGCTTTCCTAAAAATTTCTTGATGTGACAAAGAGGTAACACTGGACAAGTTTATTTTCTTCCTCTATAACGTGTTGAGGGGTCCTAATACTGAGTTTGTATATATATATATATTATATATAAATTTTGCATGTATTAAAATACATATGGATACATATTTCTGCATGGAATAACACATATACACATATGTAGAGATATATAATATAAATAATCTGTAATTGTGTATATATGTGGGTATATATTTATATGTATAAACATACATAATACCATATGTAATTTCTTTATTACTACCCAAAATGCATTCTCCCTCATTCCTAAGCATCCAGTTTATTCTGAACCATGGTACTGAAGTTTTGACTGTATTGTGTCATACTCCTATTCCTTTAGTTTAGTTTTGCTTGTATCAAAGTAATTAATACACTTTCTTCTTTTTAAGCTCACCAGTGATGATGAATAAGGCCTCTACAAGGCACAATATGCTTTTTAGTACATAGAGAAGAATTGAAATTTGATTTAATACACTAAAACTCATAAAGCAGCCCCAACCCCTTGCACATTGCAATGTTCTTTTCATAGGGTAAAGTCTGTTCTCCTATTTGTAAAGACAGATTTGACTAGTTTCAAGTAACTACCCAAGGACAAGATAAAATGAACAGGGATGAGTTTTGGCACAGAGAGCAGTGGTATATTAACCTACATCTCATATAGGATATTTCCTAAGATTAAAAACATTAACTGGAACATGAAATAATCTAAACATGGAAAAGGACTAATAGATATATTTATGGTGACTCTATAGATTGAGTCCCTTTTCCAAATTTATAACTGAAAATTTTTCATGTAATTAAGGTTTAGGAGAAAAATTCATTCATCTTAATGAGCCTAATTCTATGACCACAGAAAATTCTAGTACTACACTCAGAATTACTAAAACCTTATACTACTAATAACTTCAATACTTATTATATATAGAAGAGTTTCCTTTCTTTGTGGAATACTTAGCACCCTCACGCAGAAAATACTTTTCAAAATGGATCACACACAATAAAAACACATAAAATGATCACATTCTGTAAGTCAGACATCAAAAATTGTTAATATCTGAAGACACTGTCCCTAAAAAAAAAATAGAGAGAGGGTCATTTTGTCAAGTTCATTGGTAAAAATACAAAGAGATTTCCAATCAACAAATCATAAAATTAATCTGGTGAAAAACTGATCAACTTTTTCCAGACTTAGGACTACCCTATGGATTGTACTGATCTAGAATAGCCCAAGTTAGAGACGGCAATTAGTTTATTTTGATACTCCAAATGGACCTAACTACAGAGAAAAGTTTTCAAAAAAAGTTTTCTTACATTTGAAATACATACACAGGTTAACTCCTTGCCAAAAAAAAAATTATCGTCACATACATTTATTTTGGAGGGCCGTCAAGAACATACCTGGCTAGGCTGAAGGCATCATCGATCAAACCTGCGCGATTACTGACAGAGAGAACCTATGAGAACCAACCAGAAAGATGGAACCATTTAGGATTGAAGAAATAAGTGTACAGTATCAAAGCTGATCTCTGATAAGCATATCTGGTATTTACCTCATGGTTCTGTATTAGTTGGTCAATTAATAATCTCCAGTTCCTTAGATCATAGTTGACCCTAAAATACCCAGTTTGATTGATGTTCCCCAGCAACCAGCTTCCTTTGTCCAAAGTAATTCTGTGATGTTCTAGAAAGGATAGTTTTAAGGGAAAAACAGATCTTAAGCATGTTTTAAATCTCAAAATGGCATTAGGCAGATTTTTTCCCCTTAACTGGTAAATACTAGATGTCTAAAATACCAATAGAACATTCCCAATAATTCTTTCTCTAAGTCCACCAATTTATCAAATTAATATTTTCCTAACAAAGATAGTTAAAATCAAATAATTACTTACATCTAGGCAGTCCTAGAAGACCTTGGGTTATTTTTCATCTTGGTTGCTCCAACTAATTGGTTTTTGTAATTAACCTGTTTCTCCCTGATAAAGCTTATCCCCTAAATATCATTTTTCTTTCTCAAATTTAAAAATAACTAGAAAGCTACAAGTATTTTTACTTGACTTCTAATTAGAGCCTATATGGATTGAGAGAAATTAATGAAATGGTATAATGCAAAGGAAGTTAATAAGGTCTGATAAGCGACCCATATCATTCAATATTAAAGACACTTTCAAAACTCAGGAGACTCTATTCTGGGAAACTCAATATTAGCCTCTCTTGCTTTTTCTTTAGATATCTTCAAAGCAATATTAAATAAGTGACATCACTGTCTATAAATATTGACAACTGGGAATTTAGTTGTTTAAGCTAACTATATTTCTAAGTATACTTAGAATGAATGGATGCATCAGATTCTGCTTAAAGCAATCATTTCATTGGTTGGTATTTAGAAAACTGGTTACTATTCATTGAGTGATTCAATTAGAAGAAGAACTAAGGAAAACATTACAAGGAAGGTTGCTTGCACATTCTGAATTTCAGACCTCCCCAGTAATCTAGTGATTAACCAAAGAGGGGATAGTACATGTAAGAGGCAGCATGATAAAGAAAGAAAACTAGTCTGGCAGTCAGGACACCTACTTTCAAATCCCAAGAATACCACTTATAACTGCAGGTGAATCATTTAACCCCTTTGAGAACTGGTCTCTTCCACTCCAATAAGGGGATAATGATATATATGTACTACTTACTTTACAGGATGGTAGACTTTTATTGCTCTACAATTGTGAGATATATTTTAAAAGGATTTCTGATCACTTAAAAAATGCTCCTTAATCAATTAGCAAAACCACATTTCTTCAGAATTCCTGGTTAGTGTCTTTGGAGCCCAAGATTGGAGCTGAAGTACATGTTGTATTCTATATACAATGTGGTGGGCCAAAGAGCCAACACTGAATTTTCAAGGGTAAAGGACCAACTTCCATGACAAAGGCAGAGACTAGGATGCCAAGATGCTGTTTCTATAGAAAATCATTTCTACAGTTATCCTTTTGAATTAAGGAGTATAATAATTTTCACAAATGTTAGGACCTTCCTACTGCAGGCTCCAGTGTGGATCTTGGAGCTTCCTTAAGGCATTACATTTATATATATACAGTCAGCATTGTATTTTACATTTTTCAGTTAGGTCTCAAATACAGGAAAACTTGTCAAAAGTCACATATCTGCCAGTATTCTGTAGTGTTCAACCTTATGGCTAAAGGCCTATAAATTATGGAGTAATGTGTATCTCAGCTTCAGACGTCCATTCTCTTTTCATTGACCTTTTTTTTTCAACCATCTCCAGTCACCCCCCTCAAAGGCCCAAAGGAGTAATCCAGTTATGAAACAATGGCCACTTTCTATGTTTTACCCTGCAAATTTTATTTTGTTTTCCATTTTGCTCACCACAAGCCATAAAACAACATTTTTTCTAGCTTTTTTCAATTAAAAGTTGATTTAAAATAAAATACTAGAGAAGTTTTAAAACTATCTGCTAATCTTTATCCCTTCACAATATTTTTCCATTAAAGCACTGGATATCATGTTTTAGAAAAAGAAAACAACTGTAACACTACACACAGTATGGCCCTATGGATAAAAAGCTTACACGGCAACTACCTAGAAAGAAAATATGCAGAAGCTAGGTGGCAGAGTGGATAGACTATTGCTCTTTGGAGTCAGAAAGACCTAAATTCAAACTCTCCTTTAGATACTACCTTTGTGATCTTAGGTATTCACTTAACTGCTCAACCTTTGTTTCCTCATCTGTAAAATGAAAGGATGAATTCAATGGTCCTTCCAGCTCTAAATCTTTGCTTCTAATAATCCAGTAACATGGTTGTTAGAGTGTTAACTAGCCATAATTATTCATGGCATTGAAATGAAGCGTTCCAATTGTTTCAAATGTTTTGTTCTCTGCTATACATGGGTGACTCATTTTCAAAGAATCAGAATATGATGACTTCCCATTAAAATTGGACTGAATTAATAATATTTTTCTTTGCTGATTTCATAACTACCTCCCACCCTTTTAGGCTCAGGGTTATCATTGTGAACCTTAGTCATCATTCCAATGTAGATACTTGGATAAAATTGTTAATAGTAATTTCCAGTTGGTAGAATTCAAACCTTCCTGGAGTTGAGGCTGGCTATCCACTCTTCCATACTCTTAGACTACCACAGAGTAATGCTTAATAACTGATTGATTAATATAGCTATGGAAATTATATGAAAATTATTTTTTTTTTCATCCAGAGGAGGAGGAAGAAACTCAGGAGGGGTTACCAAGCATAAGTGGATTGTGAACCTTGTCATCTAGATTCCCCAATAAATTCCCCAGGATGTTTTGCTATATGACTAAATTGGAGGGAACATATAAGGCATATCTTTCTGAAGCCTCCCCAAAGGTAGAGATACATAAGGGAAAGTACCTGGGAAAGCCCTAGACTGCACTGGGCTCTTGTCTTATTCCCAAACAATTTTTTGTTGTTGTTCAGTCATTTCTTGTCATTTTTCAGCCGTGTCTGACTCTTTGTGACCCCCATTTGGGTTTTTCTTGGCAAAGATAGTGGAGTGCTTTGTCATTTCTTTCTCCAGCTCCTTTTATCAATGAGGAAAATGAGGCAAACAGGGTAAAGTGACTTGCCCAGGGTCAGATAGCTAGTAAGTGTCTGAGGCTGGATTTGAATTCGGGCCCTGACTCCAGGCCCAATGGTCTATCCCCTTTTATTCTTTCATTCTTCAGGAAAAGCAGAATTAAGGAAATGAGTCTATAAGACCAAAGGACCAAAACCTAATAATGCTGACAACTCCTTGCTTTTTAACTATGCAGGCTGACTGAAGCTATGGCAAAAATGAAATTACCGGGAAGTACTCAGAGAAAATGCCTGGGTAAATTCCCCTATAGAATGTTCTTGAATGTTCACTGAAGTTCATTTTTGCATTAACATTTTCCTTCAAAAGAGTACAAACATAATATATTAAATTAAACATACACTTACTAAGTGGCTACTATGTATAAGGCACTGTGTTAGGAACTAGTGATATAAAAACAAAATTTTACAAGTGCCTGTCCTCAAGAAGCTTAGAATCTACTGGGAGGGGGGATGGTATAGAGCTAGGATACAAGATGCACTCAAGTAAGCTTAATGGAGGTTGATCCAGAGAGTTATCTCATCATTTTAATGAGCTCCTTGATTGGCAATGGACTTGTATATCATGCAGAGTTACCATATTGGCGTTATTAGATTTCAGGGACTGATGATGCCCCAAGAAGGCTGGCTGGCTGAGACTCAGAAGGATGGACTCTTTTCATGGGAACTACCCCTAAAACTGAGCTAGAAGACAGATATGCTCAGGCCCTTTTCACCATCTCTTTGTTCAAAGCATAGACCAAAGCCTAGTGTATTTGGCCTGAATCCTGCAGGTTGGAGATGTGTAGGAGAGGCAACCTGTGCTTGATAGTGTTGGGGGAAGGAACACATTACACTTACCATGTTAAAATATAGATTTCAGAGCCAGTGTCTACTCCTAGAGTCAATAGACTTTCCAAGTCAAAAAGATAGCAGCCAGGACAATGATAGAGTTCTTGCAGAATCTACATGGCAGAAGCAAACACCTGCTTGCCCACCCTACCTGGGGTTTTGTTGTTTTTTTTTTTCAAAATCCATCTCCTAAAAAGAGGTAGGGTTGTAGGGTATTTTTTTTATTCCCTAGATTGTATAATCCCAGACTTCGAGAAAATAACATAGATTTCAGAATCAGCCTTGGGGAGTTGCTTTGAAAGTAATCCTAGCCTTACAGATTAGATGTTCTAGATACAGAAGGTTATTTCATGTGTAGCATCACTTTTACAGAAAGAAGAGTAATGGTCATGTGATTTCTACCACAAGAGGAAAAGTAAGGGTTAAAACGATGAAACTGAAGGTAAGAAGAAAAGAATTGCTTTTCAGTGAGTTTTCTAAATAACATACATCTAAAAGAAAAGTAGATTGTTCATTTGGTATAACCAAAATCTGTTTTCTTTCTGAGGGGGGAAGATTCTAAACCACAGTCTTGGGGAAACTGGGTAGAACCATATGGCAGACACCAGAGAGTCATCAGAATGTTGGAGTGTTGTCACAGTGGAAACTTGAGTTCAAAACCTTCCAGGGGAACATCTATAAGGGTTTTATGTTTTTTTCCTCTATATTTTCATAGGATCCTGTGAGTCCTTTGTATTTTCTTCATTTTCTGTAAGGTGAAATAAAGATTTTTGCCTGTTGTTCAGTCACTTTTCAGTCATGTCCAAATATCTCCATGACCCCATTTGAGGTTTTTTTGGCAAAGATACTGGAGTGGTTTGCCATTTCCTTCTCCAGTTCATTTTATAGATGAGGAAACTAAGGAAAATGGGGTTTAATGACTTGCCTAGCTAGTATCTCAGGACAGAGTTGAACTCACAAACACAACTCTTCCTGACACTAGACGTGACCCTTTATCTACTGCACCATCCATCTGCACCATCTACTCATATGTAATTGCTTCCTTATATAAATAAAGGCTGAATCATCTACTTATATGTAGTTGTTTCCTTGAATGCTTAGATAGTAACTAGAAACCTTGTTGCCCATATTTGTGGTAAATAGACATGAGTTAATCATTAGCTATAAGTGCAACTTTGGGAAGGCACATTGAGTGAAAAGAAAAATAAACCTTTTAGGTCAG